ATTCAACAACAGTTCACACAGAAGACTTAACTTCACCACGTGTAGGGGATTTCTCTGTTTGGAGTTACCGTCAGATCCCACAGGTTGAGGGCTCAGTCTCCAAGACTATCCCTAACTCCCCACCTCACCCCCTTCAGACAATAGTTGCAAGTCCAGGCCTACAGAACTTCTAACCAACTGGCTTCAAGTTAGGGTTCCTGTGACCCTCTGCTTAGGTTCGATTAATTTGCTACAGTAGCTCACAGAACTCAGGGAACACTTACCTTGTGTTTCTCTGTATGTTATAAATTATATTACGGAATATACAGATGAAGAGATACATAGGGCAAGGCACGGGAGAAAGGACACGGAGGCATGCTGTGTGTTCCAGCTATCCAGAAGCTTTCTGAACCTTGTCTTTTTAGATATCCTACTGGATAGACATAATTGATAACCATGTAAAAATGTAATTCGACCAGAAGGATATGATCGAACATTAATAGACTGAGTAGAAAGACCCAGCAGGCCTGTCTGTTCAGATTCTTCTTAGCCTCTCTGTGCCGCATTCCTTCCTCCAGGGTGTAGGCAGGTCCTCATATGGAATGAAGTCTTAGGACCCACCGTCAGAAAGGCCAGGAAAGATTAGAGTACTGCTGTAGGGTAGGTGAAAGGAGGACAGGGGAAGGTTAGAGAGATTCTATTTTCTAAGGCCTGAAGTGCCCCAACATTAAACAAAAGACTGTAACAAGGGCTGTGGGAGTTACATGCCAGGAACCGTCTACAAAAACCAAAATATAATAAAGATCAGAATATCACACGTCTTCTTCCTGAAAGAAGAATAGTATTTGGGCTGAGATATAATTCTTATTTTCTAAGAGTTTAGCTTCAGTTCTGCCACCTTGAAGATTTTATTGTTGCAGTTTAATGTCCAAATCTAATCTCATTTTCTTCATTTGTAGGTAATTTATTCTTTGTAAATTTTTTATTCTCAAATTTTAGTGGAATTTTGTAGATGTATCTGTGTCTTATCAGTTTAACCTGGATTTTAAAAGTTAGCTGTTTTAGTCAGCAGCGTAAATTTTTTCCTTATAAAGTTTCTGGAAATTTTCTTCATTAATTATTGCCTCTCTGCAATCTGTTTCTCTCCTTCTTCAGGAGTATTTTTTTTTCCCGCTTCTGTTCTCCAGTTTTCTTTTTTTCTTTTTTTTTTTTTTTGGAGATGGAGTCTCATTCTGTCTCCCAGGCTGGAGTGCAGTGGCGCAATTCTCATGCCTCAGCCTCCTGTGTAGCTGGGACTGCAGGCGCGTGCCACCATGCTGGGCTAATATTTGTATTTTTTAGTAGAGATGAGGTTTCACCATGTTGGCCAGGCTGGTCTTGAACTCCTGACCTCCGGTGATCCTCATGCCTCAGCCTCCCAAATTGCTGGGATTACAGGCATAAGCCATTGCACCCAGCCCAAATTTTTTATCTTTATGATTTCACCTCACATTTTTAGCTATGCTTTACATATTACTTGATTTTCTGAGATAACCCTCAAAAGCAACTGTACTCTGAGTTTCTCTTGGGTTTTTTAGTTGAATAATCATGTTTTTGTTTTAACTTCAGAAAGTCTGTTTGTGCTGAACTTGAATCTCCTTAAAGAGCTCTTCTTTCATTAAAGTCAAAATGGATTATTATTGTTTTATTTTTACATCAGGGCTCACTCAGCTTGGGTTATTTGTAGTATTCCATATGGCCTCAGTCTTGGAAGTGCTGTGAAGTAGAATAATCTAATTCACAGGCCAGTGTTCTATAGAGGTACCTAAAAGAAGCCTTTTGTTTCCTTGACTCTTTTATTCCTCCAGCCTCAATGGTAGGGAGGATCCACCTCACCTGTCTAGCTACTTCTGGCTTTTCTGGGGTCAAACACTACAGGCAATCTCATATAATGTTGTCATCCTCACTCCTGTGGATACACAGAGCCCTTGGAGCCAAGCTCTTCTTAAAGTTCTTTGCTTTCCTATTCTTAGCTCAGAGCTTTGTGAAGCTAATCTCCAAGTGAGAAAATGAAGTCCTGCTTCCTTTCTCTTCCTTCCTTTTGGCAAGGCCAAAGACTTCTTATATCTAGCCAGCTACCTTATGACACAGAAGCCTTTTGGCTTAGGAATGCAGCTACATTGAAGTGAGGGCTATAGAGGAAGAGAGCTACGTTCAGGTCACCACCTTCCCAGATTCCACCTCATCCGTGGTCCTGTTATATATTTTTATAAATCAAAAATCAATAATACTTTTGCCATCTATAAAGTAGTTGAATTGTATTTATGCTGAACTTCCTTATACTTGATCTGTATTCTTGCAAGTAAGATAGGCTTGGAAAAAATATTGAAAAATTATTAAATCATCAATTCCTGGGAGACCGGATAGGGAGAAGATTCCTAATGAAGGAAAATCTAGACTTAGAAGTCCTAATTTTACACTAGGATAGCACCTTTGTTTTCACTATTAATTTAGAACAGAGGCTTAGCCTTGGAGGCCAACTTTAATTTTATTGAAAAGTTTATGATTTTGTTAATTTCCTGTCTTGTTTCTCTTGCCAGGTGGTGTGGGGATGATGTGCTCACTGAGTGAACAAGGGAAGCAGCTAGCTATCCAGGTGTCTAATATCCTGGGGATGGACGTGTGTGGCATTGACCTGTTGATGAAAGATGACGGCTCCTTCTGCGTCTGTGAGGCCAATGCAAATGTAGGTTTCATCGCCTTTCATAAGGCTTGTAATCTAGATGTAGCTGGTATCATAGCAGACTATGCCGCCTCCCTTCTACCCTCTGGCAGGCTCACCCGGCGTATGTCCCTGCTCTCCGTGGTGTCCACGGCCAGTGAGACTAGTGAGCCGGAGCTGGGTCCCCCAGCCAGCACTGCTGTTGACAACATCAGAGCAAGTTCCAGCTCTGTTGACAGCGACCCTGAAAGCACGGAGCGAGAGCTGCTTACCAAGCTCCCAGGGGGCCTGTTCAACATGAACCAGCTGCTAGCCAATGAAATCAAACTACTGGTGGACTGACTCCACTGGTAATTAACCAACAAAACCCTTGTAAACCTTACTTTCTTTTTTTCTTTTCTATTTTTAAAACCAACTTGCAATGCTGTTCATGGAGGATGCTCAGGAAGATGAGAGAAAATTAGTAGGATTAGTTGGAGGCAGTGGGAAATAGATGAGACCTCTGCTAATAAGATGTTACTTTCATTTACAATTCCTACAAATAGAGAGGCAGAATAGGTGGGATATAGAAAAATGTTAGGCTCTCATAGTTACCCTTTTAAATTTCTAAAAAATTTTGTATGCTCATAGGCCATGAGGAACATATACTTTTATTTTATGGTTCCTTGCTTTTGTTTTTGTACAAAAAATGATTTTGCTACAAATATCCAAGTAGCATAACTTCACATTGTGTTGCAAAATTTGTCATCAGTGAGGAAAACATCTGCCTAAATTACAGGAATTCTTGTATTATATAGCTCTGAAAATTCTGCCATTTCCTTATTAGTAGCTTTAGTTTGTAGTTTATGAAATCTTGAGGGGCTCTTTTCCTGGGATTTCTTACTTTTGTGTTTTGTTTTTTCCCCCTTAATTTGGTGGGAGGGTCAAAGTGAATATAACCTAATAAAGGCTTCTTAATGACAAAATTGGCATGTTTGCATGATGAAATGGAAATGAACAGTATTGCAATGTCCGGTATACAAAATAACATTTATTCAATGTAGATAAAATTACACTAGTTTAAAATGTGCATTGACTTGTATTTGTTAGTCTTTTATGTGCTCTGTTAATGTTGCTTTTTTTTTTTTTTAAATACATGCTAGTCTAACATTTCCTGCTCTATGCCTGCATCTTTAACAATGGCCAAAGTGAAGAAAATGCAACCTTTTTTGTTAACAAGACTTGAAATGTGTACATTTAAAGCCTTTTACTTTTTCCCTTTTTCTTTTGGTGGTTGGGCATTTAAATAAGGACAAGGAAAAATATTTTTTGGGGCAAATCAAGAGCCTATATGAGTTCTAAGTTTAAAGCTGAAGTGATTTCTAATGCCAGCGTTATATATTTGCATTTTTCACATTTTAGAGGGAGTATATATGTATGTGTGTGCACGCATGCATGTGTATGTGTTTTGCTTTTTGTTTACATCAACTAATCAAAAAGGATAATTTAGAAAATGGAGCATGATGGGAAACAGTTTTTGACTTTAAAAAACAGATGAGTTGTTTTCATAAGGAGACTCCACTGGGGTAGAGGTATTCACCTTAAAACATAGGGTGAATAGATGCTTTTTAGGCCTTTTTGTGTATATGTATGTTTGTTTTTTTCCTTTTGTTTCTAAACTGTTCATTGTATGGTTTATTCAAGGCTACATGCTTTTCTTTAATGCTTCTGGCTATGCATTTTCTCTTTTTACATACAGGAGTTGGGATTGGGGGTGAGTTGGATGTTTTTGTTTGGGGACTTATTTAGTAGTATTGAGTCTCTTATAGCCCTACTCTTAAGCCTTCAATACTGTCCACTCTTTATATTTCTTTACTTTCAGAATTTATAAAAGCCCCCAAACTGCATATAATTTGAGCCTTTAAAACATGGGTAAAACTAATCCCACTGAAGGGTTTGGATGGTATGTTAAGAAATGGAGATGCTGCAGAGCCCAACGTAATTTTTTTAAACAGCAAGTTCCATCTCCCTACAAATCCTCTGAAGCTTTTACCCAAGCCCTGTCTTGCCTCTCCAGTGCTATTTTCCATCAGATGGACCTTAAGCATAATTTCTTGGACACTACTAGAGAGACTTCGAGGCAATAATAAAAGATCAGTATTAACCACCTATAACAGAGGTTTGATCATGCTTACTGTACAGTTTTTCCCCCGTTTTAAAAAGGAATGTAATAAAATTTGTTTTTTCCATAGAATTAAATAATATTAAAATTGAGTGAAAGGTTGATTGTTGATGAATAGAATAGCACCTCTCATCTGTGCAGTGTCTCATTTCACCTCAGAGAAAAGGATACGTAAGAGGAGTTTGTCATTTAACTTAGGATATTCTAATTGCATTTAAAACAACTTATCTTGCACAGGGTAACTGGGGGACTCACATACATATATTAGTATCTCTGACTCATTAACAGAAAGAAATACTTGGTACTTCTTTCGCTGAACGACCATACTGTGGAGGATGCATACTATTTGGTATAGACAAATAAATGAGGAAGAAAGAACTGCCTAGTTAAATTATCATTCATATGTTCATGTAGAGACCATCTGGTTGCCATGTATATTATAACACATACACTTTCAATAGTTATATATCACAGGTATGTAGATTAATACATTTAAAAACAACCTCTTTATTTGATGAAAATTTCAAGTTTGTGTTGGTGGGCTAAGGCATCAGGAAAAATGTAGTAAGCCATCTTTTAACTAATACCAAATTAACCAACTATATTATAGGAAATATGTGAAATTAGTTCATTAGTTTTATTCACTATCTATTATGCATTCACATAATATTAAAACATAGCTTTAGCAACCAGTTTCTGGATTATACACTCACATGTTAGAAAGAAAAGAACAGTAGTTATCATCTTAGATTTTAAAAACATGGATATCTTCTTGAATTCCTTCAAAATTAAGGTAAAGAATAAGAGCAAATCATTCTGGAAAGAACCTAAGGAAACAGCAGCAGATATTTAGGTGAAAATTAAATTTATTTTCATAATTGTTTAATAACTTTTGTATAATCTTCATTGCTATTATGAGAGATAAATTGTATTTATCAAATATGTGTAATGATAAAATCTGAATTGTAAAATTTTTGTATATTGTTAAAATTGTAATTCTAAATTGTACTTCAAAAATAATTATTTCTGATTGTATTTATGTCACCCATGATGAAAACTGGACTATATATATACATCTAAACATATAAGTATGAACTATTCTAGTTAAAATTTTTAATAGTTTTTTTCTTTTTTGGTGCCTATAATTTCTGCTGGCTTTTCTCCAATGAACATTGAAATCTTTCTGTATGTGTTATCAATAAGAAAACTACCCTGGAACATTAGAAATACCCAACAAGAGACTTGGCTTTCATCAAGCACATTATCAGACTTTGAGAAGATATTGAAGGCATTGACTTTGAAAATCATCTCTTTTTCTCAAGAAGAAAGCAATGGAGAAGCAAATTTGCTTCATTCAGTGAATCCCCAGTTTGGGGGTTGGGGGGCTTAGAGACATTGTAAAATCAAATCTTGTGTTATATTTTTCTCCTGGCTCACTTTTTTTGAGAAGGTTTATGGGCTATTTGGCTGGTGAGACACGATCCCCTCCTAAGAAAATGTAGGTGCTCAGACAGGTAACCTCTGCTGCTACTGTTTTTATTTGTTTGTTTGTTTAATTTTATTTAAGATTTGTTTTTGTTGTACTAGGATTTTTTAAAATGTAATATATTGCAGGATTTATAACCAGGTTCACTGACTGCTTGCTTGCTTTCTTTTTCTTTCTTTTTTTTTTTTTTTTTTCCTTAAAACAAAACAAAACAAAGTTTCATTTAAAATACATTTAGGCACCTTTGGAGCTTGGATTTTGGAATGTTTCAGTAGTGGACAGAAATCTGCTGTTGGAATCTTCTAGTCTTCCAGGTTTAATTTGAAATGTTTTTAGTTTTGTTTTGAATTTTTGTGTGGCATTTTATTTCCTTTATATCAATGCCATTTTGCCATGCTGTTTTGGGGTGGCTGCCTAACTCTAGTGAAAATTCTTTCTATATTAACGAAAGTTTGGCCTTTGAAAATCCTTAATGTTTTGCATTTTTTACGTTGTTTTTAAAGAAATATTCTAACTGCTTGCACTGTTACTGTTCTTTACCAGCCTTTTCAGGAGCCAAAAAAACAAATACAAACAAACAAAAAATTACCCAGAGAAAAAACTTTCCTTCTTCCCCCTTCCTGATGATGAGTGAGAAGTATTGAGAACTTTCGGGGTCATTGCCCTTCTAAACTCCCCTTCCCCCAATAATGCAGCTGTATAATGAATGGTAAATGCACCGGTTTGGATTCAGGCACAGCCCAGCCTGCTTGCAGGTAATTTAACTCTTTCTCCTTTTTTTCCACCACTAGGCTAACTTTCTTTTTTAAAAAACTTCTCCTTTATGTACTTTAAAAAGTAACCATGGGTTTGTCATAATTCTCAATTAAAAATAAATATATCTAGCAAATAATATGATTAAAGAAGAGCTTTTGGGGTAAAGTTTGACTTGGTTACGATATACTCAGGACTTTCTTGGAATTTTGTTTAGCCATTTAGATGACTCCATTTCTTGAATATATGTCTATAATTAAATATTTCGGAGTGTGAATTTTTTGGCTTTGTTTTTGTTTCGGGTTTATTTGTTTCTTCCATTGTGCTACTCTGGCTTAAGCTTTTTCAGGGGTTGGTGTTCCGAATACACAGTGAGCTCACAGTATAAAGACATCAATTAGGAGTTGACAGGTATGGAAAACTAGAGTTTTGAAAGGTAAAATTAGGTTCTAGGTTATATATATGGTAAAAACCCAACATAGCATTCGTTTTACCTTAGTGCTTCTCTTTCTGTGACATTATAAAAGTGAAAGGGAATAATAAAGACAATACAAAACATTTTAGTTCTTTTAGGAGGAACGTGATTTCAGAACTAATCATTTTGGTGGTTCTAAGATACTAGTTCTAACAAGGAGATGTGAGCAGTTTCAGATAATCAGAAAATCATGGTTTAAACTTTCAAAATTACAGGTTTGAACAGATAGGAGGGCAGTTCTGAAGTACAAGATGGCTAAGCACATTAACCAAGGACATAAATTGTCAAGGATAGGACTATATACCTTGTCCATTTTAATAGCCTTTCTGTTAGGTAATAAACTAAACTATCCTCTCCACTGTCTTTACCCCAGCCTGCCTGCCCTTTCTTCTTTTTTCCTATCCTTTCTAAAGTTTTAGCTCTGAGCTTTTGTTATTTTGGGGTATTATCATCTTTCTAATAGGTAGAATTTTAGTGAGAGTAATCAGGACCTTTTCAACATATATTTCTGCATAATTTCATCCTGTGGCTTTAGGCGTACTATCCAAAGAGGCTGTACGTCCAGCAAGTCACTAGTTAGTGAACAGGAAGTCTTGGCTTGTAATGCTATTTCTGTAGCTGAAGGAAGACATGTGATCAGTGATTAACCTGTTCTGTGCTTCAGTTGACTCTTAGAAGGATAGTCATTCCCCTTAAGGATCTTATGACAAAGATATTTATCTGTTGAATTGGAATTGACTAACAAAGGGGTCCCAGCTGCACTCATGCAAGAATTTGTGATGTATACTTAAAAAAAAAAAAAAAAAAAGGCGGTGGGGGGGCTTATTCAGGAAAGCCTTGTTCTCTTGCTAATATGAATGACTAACACTAGAGTATACAAACTATCTGTTGTATGAGGCATGGAGAGTTTAACAACCTCCGGTCAGCTGCCTGTTTGAATACCACTGACTTGTTAGGAATGATCTTGCGTTTAGATTTTACCATATTCATACTTAGTAGGTGAGCCTTATATAGCATATATACCTGGCTGCTATTGTGGGGTTTGGGACCATGAGGGGTGGGTGAACTGTTGTTGTTTTAGGTTTCAGTCAGACAGACATCCCTGTGCCTCAGTTCCCAGAAGCACAGCAGGCCTCTAGGAGCATCCGTGGGAACGGCGCAGTCCTGACATCACCAACTCTCCTGCTCAGGCTCATCCCATATACAGAGGTCAAAGGGTGGGGTTTGAGACTGGGGGAAGGAATGAGAAAGTAGAAGCAATGTCACTGCAGTGTCACTGTTGACTAGCCTTTAGTGCTTACGTCAGTGTTTGTTTTATTTCCTGATTTTTTTAAGTTGGCAAAACTGTGCATATTTTTACCTTGATGAATGCAGTGGGAGGGTGGAACAAAAACAAGCCATTACTGCTATTTGTATTTCATTACCAGAGACTGTCCCTTAACAGCTAATAAAGAATAAATTGGGAACGTAGACCTAGATGACAAAAAGAATGGGAATAGAAATGAATCCCAGGATTTTTTTTTTTCCTTGTCCTAACAAAGTGGCAGAGCCAAAGTAGAATCCCAGGATTTTAACAAACAGAAGACATTTATGCTGTGTTAATCCCCAGTTCTACAACTGCTATTATATTTGTCATTCTGTCTCCCTTTTTCCCCTAATTCTTTTATGTATGTATAGTTTGAGGAAATGTGCATTTATGGTCAGTCCTTTTTAGAGGACTTAATGAATTTATTACTCTTTTGCAAAAAATATACCCACTGCTTATATGGGCATACAAATGCTACCCTATTTTAAATGTAGGTGGCGTATGTGTTCGTGTTTTAATGTATTCAGAGCCTTGGGCAATAAGCAGTCCAGAACATTGAAAACTCAAGCAGGTAAAGCACCTAACACCCTTAGTTTCTAGAGTTACTTTAAAAAACTTTTACATTGCTGCATCTTCCACAGTTCCTTGGGTAGTCTCAGAACTTAAAATTTGTAGGAGTTGTAGACTGCCCACTTCAAATGTTAAGTTTTGGTATTTATTCATAGATTGTAGGAGTAGGTAAACAAGGAAACAGAAAAGAAAATGGCTTCTTGAGATGGCAATTGCTGAGTGGCTAAATCTTTCCACTTCCTTTCTTTTTACTTTTTTTGTAAATTTTCCTAGCTTAGCATGAACATTAGTCATACAGTGTTTGATTTTCTGTGATTGGGATTTTTGGTTTTGATTTTTGGAGGGAAGGTCTTGGAGAAACATTAAAAAGTTGGTGTATATGCAAAAATACGAAATGTTAAACAAAATAATGTTTTCTATTTAATCTAAATAGTAAGCAATATTTTTTTCTATATACCCTTCTGCTGCAGCAGAGAATTAAACTGGTAGGTGGCAGCAGAGGAAGGAATTCTTCAGATTGATGGCTACTGACTTAAAATCTGCATAGGAGAAGAGATAGAGCATGACATACCAGCTGAAGCAAGGGGGGCAAAAATGGAAGCAGGATTAAGACTCCTGGATTTTGACTCTAAATGGGTAAGTTATCTTTAAGTAATCATGTGCTTTTCATCAGATGGCAATGTTATGTCATATGACTATGTACAATGGCGTATAATCATAAATGCCTGTAGGTTCTTGCCTGAGGTTGAATTTAACTTGACTGGTGTACTCTCATTCTTTACTTTGAATAACAACTAATAGTATATAAGATTAGGATTTTCTCCTCAGTATATTGGTATATGTGACCTTTAATTATGACAAAATTATACTGACAGTAAGTCTGATTTTTTTTTAATTTGTAAGAGAAATAAAATATGCATTGTTAATAATTTTATAAAAACAAAAGTTCTGGCCAGGCACCGCGGCTCACACCTGTAATCCTAGCACTTTGGCAGATTGAGGTGGGTGGATCACCTGAGGTCAGGGGTTCAAAACCAGCCTGCCCAACATGGCGAAACCCCATCTCTACTAAAAATACAAAAATTAGTTAGGCATGGTGGCAGGCACCTGTAATCGCAGCTTCTTGGGAGGCTGAGGCAGGAGAACATCTTGATCCCAGGAGACAGAGGTTGCAGTGAGCCAAGATCATGTCACTGTACTTCAGCCTGGTGACAAGAGAAAAACTCCATCTCAAATTAATTAAAATAAAAAATAAAAGACTTTTTTTAATGGGAGCTTTGGGAGATAACAAAAGAATATAATCAGAAAAAAAGTATTAGGGTTGGAGTGATCTCTCTTCCAGCTGGCTGTCTCTAGATCAAGACTCATTTCCTTGTCACTGTGCCATGTTCCACTCTGCCATTAATTCCCCCCTGCCCGTTCATCTTTCTCTCTTGATTATCTGGCTGGACTTTCCCCCTGTTCCTCTGTCTCTCCCTGTCTTTGTGCTTCTCCCTTACTCGAGTCTATTTGTAAGCTTCTTTCTCTCGCATTCAGTTCTGAATTTTAATTATCCAATGTTGCAGTTTTTCATCTCTGCCTGCCTGTTTTTCCTAGGAGAGTGTGTATGTCTGTCTCTTCCTCCCTCCCTCTCTCCCTCCCTCCCTCTCTCCCCACTTTTCATTTGCATTCTTTATTAGAATTTGACTAAACTTAATAGAAGAAATTAAATGATATTTGGAAGTTCTCTAGAATTAAAGAATGTAAATTTCAATTAAATTTATAATAAGATGCAGACCTGTTTATTCTCTCAACTACTTATTTAACTGTAGTATCTATTGTTTCTGGCAACCAAGCTGTGTAAGATCATTTGGACAGAAATGAAAGGCATATGGTTTTTATTCTTTATTTTATTTTTTTTTTAAGACAGGGTCTCACTCTATCACCCAAGCTGGATAGAGTGCAGTGGCATGATCTCAGTTCACTGCAACCTCCACCTCCTGCATTCAGGCGACTCTTGTGCCTCGACCTCGGATTACAGGTGCGTACCACCACACCTACTAATTTTTTCTTTTTTTTGTCATTTTAGAGGAGATGGGGTTTTGCCACATTGGCCAGGCTGGTCTTGAACTTCTGGCCTCGAGTGATCCACCTACCTCAGCCTCCCAAAGCGATGGGATTACAGGCATGAGCCACTACCTCTGGCTTATTTCGACAACTTTTAACTTCAAGTTGACGCTTGATTTTTTAAAGTCTCTAATGAAATCAGAAAATGAGCAGAGAAGTCAGTATTTTTAGAGACCTTCATATTAGAGAGTGTCAAGTTTTAGTCCTATAAATGAGGGTTAAACTGTAACTGGTATAAATCTGTTTTTAGGGCGTATATGTGACCATCTTAGAAGGTTTTTTATTCTAGTAAAGTAGCACACAGATAATTGTTTTCAACTTTTAAAGATGGTAAAAACTGTAAATCTAGAGGAAGAAATTATTAAAGAAGGGGAGTCCTGACTCCTGTTAATATCTATAATAACAGAATGAGCTACCAGCCTGCAGAGCCCTGCCATAGAAGTTAGAGTAATCTGGAAAGTTTAGTCATCTCATATAATCTTGAATTTGTACATAAGGAAACTAAAGTCCAGAGAAGTTGGTGACTTGCCCAAGATAACTGAGCCAGGCCTAGGATTCCTGTCTCCTAATTGTCAGTCCAGTGCTCTTTGCATTGTATACCATGCATCCTCAAAATCTATAGTTACTGAACATGTGCTCTGCAGTGAAGCTGCAGTGTCACAAAGAGTTCAAAGTTGTGTTTGTGCTTGTGGTTATCTAAGATAAGATGGGGAGTCTATTTAAGTAAAGGATATTAAGGCAAGTTGTAGATGGCCATTTTAGATGGTTTGTATGCAGAATTGTTTACATGTTTTGCATGTACATTTATTTGTTATATATAGCAAACATGTAATTATGAATACATCTTGATTATAGGGTTTGACACTGAAAAGGGGTATCCCTTGCTGAATTAAAAAATGATGCAAAAAGGCCTTTGTTTTACCTTTAACTTCTGGTCAAGGGAGAAGAGGAGTGGATTCCTTATGTCTAGTATACCATTAATCCTAACCTACCTTCCATTTCTATTCTGGAATATGAATCAATCTACAAGAAAGATAATCTTTTTATTCTGAAACTCCTGTTCCTTGCAGATTTTTAGGCTAGCAGTGGGTAAGTGGATCCTTAAATAAGATGATTGTGTTTACTTGTAATAACAGGATGTATAGTAACATGATGCTAGAATAACTGATACATTGTCTAAATGTGCAGCTTACTTTTAACCATGTAAAAAGAGGAGCCCTTTATTTTTAAAAATGGGCTGAATGCTGAAAAACATCATGCATATTAGTTTGGAACATAAGAACACACTGCCTCTGTTAATGTGGTCAGTGTCTAAATTTTTTAAAATAATTTTATCTTAATTTTGATTAGTGGCCAGGCATGGTAGCTCACGCCTATAAGCCCAGCACTTTGGGAGGCTGAGGTGGGCAGATCACTTGAGGCCAGAAGTTCAAGATCACCTTGGCCAACATGACAAAACCTCGACTCTACTAAAAATACAGAAATTAGCTGGGCACAGTGATGTGTGCCTGTGATCCCAGCTACTCTGCAGGCTGGAGCAGGAGAATCATTTGAGCCCAGGAAGCAGAGGTTGCAGTGAGCCAGGTTCGTGCCACTGTACTCAAGCCTAAGTGACAGAACAGTCATTTTGATTAACATATAGAAATGTTAATGTTTTAGAACTCAAAGAAAGTGATAAACTTGAGTTTTAATCTGAACCAAAAATTGTGCCTTCTGTAACTTACTGTAAAGTTAACCTAGAACACAAAGAGAGCATTTAACTTGAATTTTGTTTGTCTGGACATATTGGCACAATAATTTTATTTTGTGTGTTCTACAAGAAATTTTTTCTTTAGAGTTTTTCTCTTGGTATAGCTTTTCTGACTAAAATGAAGCACAATTGTTTGTATTATAGGGTTGCTAAGGAGTAATAGTACAGAGACATCTTCGTGATTATATTTTTAAAGTTACAAATATTCAGTGTCTGAAATTGGGTTGATTTTTTTTTTTTTAATATTTCTTTTTTTTT